GGATTGTGGTGTTGGTAGCGGTGGTGATGATGATGAATTCGTCTCCGCAGCCACACATTCCGTTGTTCTCACACGAAAACTAGGTAGCGCAAGGCGGTTTAGACGCCAAACCTGTCGACAAAACAAGCGAATAAGGCACACTAATTCCACGAAAAAGTGCCAAATTCAACTTTTATTTTGTTGCCGAGTGCCATTGGGTCACAGGGCAGATGTGACTTTCAAGGAAGACCAGGCATTTTCTCATATGACAGCTGTTAGTTGGATTGTGGTTGAAGCAAAGTTATATTTGCTATGACAATCGACTACACTACTCATTTTGTTTATAAGTAGGGCTTAATACTACCATTAAATCAATTATATGATATTTATTTTCCTGCATTGACCTCTGCCCTTTGTGCGGAAAGATCTGGGCCCATCATCCTGCGACTACGACGACTCCGTGCTGAGCATTCGTCCGTCATGTGATGGACATTGTCATAGTCTGAAACCAATATTTTCGAGCATTCCACAAAAAGCATAAAACCAAGAAAACTGGTCATCTGAGATTCTACTCACTTCGTATACCTCATTTGCGATCGGAACGTGACATGCCATGATTTGGTTGGCTGCTTTATGCAGAAAGAGGAGCAAATGGCAGCACAACTTGTCTTTTTGCAAATAAACTAGCGCATGTTCCAGTTATCCTGTGGCCAGTTTTGGCTTCGTGGATGCAATTTCGGGTCACAAGACAAACACCAGGTCAGTAAAGTCTTCTCTTATTCGACAGCTCTTCTTTTTACCTCTCTTTGGTGTGCTTAGTTTCCTAAACTCGTTTCTCTTATTCAGCATGTACTTAATTTTGTTACTTTCAATCGACACTCTGATATTTCGCTTAGCTGTGAAGTATCCATATCCGGTAAAACGCTAGGTTTTAGAGCACATTATTTGGTGCATGTAATGATCACATGTCCAGCAATCATTGCTTCCTCGACCCATAAACCTTTACAGGCGCTTTTGCGTTCTGATGACCTATTAAGTATGGGTCGACAAGTCGGTTTCCTTTCACCCTATTTCTTAGTATTTTGAAATTATTAACAACTAATCCTAGTGGATAATTATTCTCAACTACGATTTTTCTTATCCTTTTACACTCCTGATCTTGTTGATTCATGCCCACTAAACATAAACTCATTATTATCATTAATTTCATTATTATTACTTTCACATCATAAGTATGATTCGATAATAAATTGTAAAGAAAGCCCATATTTGTGGGTTTCTTCTACACATCCATATTCAGTTTGTTTCTTTGTTCAATAACTATGACATGTAAAAAGAGTAGCTCACCGTCCTTTTCTAACTCCATTGTGAATTTAGTTGTCATGTCTAATATATTCCTTAACATAAGAAAATCTTTCAGACTCTCTTTTGACATGCTACCTGATAGAAAAGTAGTCATCTATTCATTTGACAATAGTTTTGGAACTGATAGTGTTTCTTGAAAAGTTCGGACCTCCAAGTGAGCCATGTAGTTGTTAGCTAAAACTGGAGACAATCACGATCCCATGACTAAAACTCCGGTTCGCTCATATAGTTTACCAGTAAAGGTAAAATATGTACAATTCAATATTAAGATTGTCAATCTTATAATTGACTTCTTGCTTGTCTTATTTGTTGATATTGTCTCTGGATGTTGATCTAAGGGTTACGTCGAGACGACATCAAAACTTACAAGCAAATCTTCCTGTTCTATCAGTTGCCCATTTACTAGCTTAACAAAGTTATGAGAATTCTTTGTTGAAAATTTCTTTAAATCTACTATTTTCTTTAATGGATCAGAAATAAATCGTAATGTTTTGTGCATCACACAACGCCACTTTTCTGTTTATTTTGGACAGACCATATGAATTATGTGGTCTGCATCGCGTTGAAGAAGTGCATCTATTATACACTTGTTCAATTCTCCACTACTAATGCATTGTTGAAGACACCACTTTAATGTTTATGTAGCGTTGGCTCTCAAAATCTCTTCTACATGATCTGTCCTTCCCATAACTACAACTGCTTCTCCTTTATCTGAGAGGTATTCACCCTATTTCGTTTAAGATGATGGAGGTCTGGAAGCTGAATTGTCTCAAAATGATATGAGTAGAACTGCTCCTCCTTTGTCTTCCCTCAAAACTATTTACTTCTGTTATCAAAGCTTCTAAATATTATTAGTAGCTTACTTATTCTTATTTGGTGCTCCATTTAGAGGAACAACTTGTATTTCAATTTCACTTCTAGCTTCTTTTGCTAATCTGTCAGTAAAGTTAATAACTTCCAG